CCCCAAAACCCCAAAACCCCGAATTATCTTATTATAAGAAAACTAGGAAGAAAATTGATTTATAATTTGTAATAGAACATAAAAATTTGTTAGGAAAATGGAAAAAATGACTTATGATACGAATTTTAAGGGCTTATAAAATGACACAGGAGTTAATAACTGTTTTATGAACGTTGTTATCTAATCCCTATGGCATCTATATTCTTTTAGAGAGAATTTTATGAGCTATAAGAATCACAGGCATTCAGATAAGGAAATATACCTAAGAGTCAGAAAAGCAGCCATAATTAGAGAGAGAAGAGGCTCTGTCTCTGATTTTAATATAAAGCCTTAACCTACTTCTCATACTTAGAATTAGGATGACTAGAGTTAAGTACAATAGTTTGATTAATTAAGAAAGAGTGATGTTAAAGAAGAAAGTAAAGATGATCTTTAAAATCTTAATAACAGAAGACTTCCGATGGACGATTTATTTACGAAAGAAGATCTAGAGAAGCTTAAGCAAGAAATTGAGTTTAAATTTGATAAAGAAGTTATTAAAACTGTAAAATAGTCAGATGTTTGCTTGTATTGCAATCTACTAGATCTCTTTACTAAGTACGAATATGATCAAGGAAAAGTGCTTGAACCGAAAAAAGTCAGGCAAAGTTTAGAGCAAATTTTCTTGGATCAAAATGAAGACTTTAAAGATGGAAAAATGGGGTGTGCTCAAGAGACTCTCGAGGGTATACTTAATTATCTCCATCGGGAGTATTTGTTTCCTAACTATATTGAGTAGTATCTGCTCATGGATAAGGACAATAAATTCAAGCTCGATATGGATCTAGACGGTACTGGTTGCTCACCAAAATGCCCGGCTCATTAAACCTTTGGATTAGATGTTTGTTTGATCTCACTTTGCAAATCATGCAAGGTTTTAGATGATGTATAATAGATTAAAAGGGAACTAGTGCACTAAGTATATGTGAGTGAGCTTTTCCAAACTATTAAAGAATATAAATTAGAAAATGATTTCACTAGAATCTTAAAATAAATTATTGTTGGAGAATCTGACTTTCATTCATAATTTTAGGAACCCAGCATATGCTCGCAATGTAAAATACCTCAAAAGATTTAGGATAAGTGGTTACTAGAAATACCTAATATCTATACGTTCAATTTTTAGTATAGCTACATAGATGAAGATAGTTCGTAGTCAAGGAGTATTATTAAGGATCTGTTTAATATAATCCCGAATAAAATTGATCTAAAATCTTTTCTAATGGTCAGTGAAAAGAGCTACTAAAACACAGTATTCATTTTAAGAGGGATGATAACTTATTATGGTAAACATTACATATCCTATTTTTATTCCTAAAAACACGATACTTGGGTTCAGTTCAACGATCAATCTTTGAAGTCTATTGGAAATTTCTAGGAGGTAATGAGACGCTGCATAAATGGTAAGCAATAGCCAACTACACTCTTCTATGAGAACTAAGAAGTGATAATAAATGTAATAGATACAAAAACCTCTGAAAAAGATGCTAAAATGCATAAGAAAAGAGAAAAGAGATATTATTTCACTGATAAGTCTCTTTAAAAGAATAACTTCTGGATCTATACACCCAAAGATGGAGGGAAAAGTAATTGTAGTTTATTTTAGTGATAAAATTTGATGTAATTAATAACAAGCTTTTGATTCATATGATATAAAATTGAGATTTTAGTTTTAGTATAAATGTTAATCTCATATTTTAAAACATTATTTTTCTATAGCTTGGTTTAGACTTATTTACGGGGTTTTGGGGTTTTGGGGTTTTGGGG